GAAATTCATATTAGTGGTCAAATTGACAGGTGGGTGATGGATTCCTTAATAAAAAATCACACAAGACCATCGACAGCCTACGGACTACCGAAGATACACAAAGAAGGAAATCCGCTAAGATTGAGAGTCAACAACAAGCATGGAGCAATACACAAACTAGCGAAATTCATTTGCTTGAAGCTCAAGAAAGTAAATGACAGACTCGAAAACCGTTAAAAATTCATATGAATTTTCTCAAAGAATCCAAAATATTGAAGTGGCAGGAACGGAAATGTTGGTAGCTTTTGACGTACAATCCGTGTACGCCACCATTTCAGGCAAGAAGGCAGTCACCGCCCCGTTGGAGGCCTTGGAACGAGAGGAGGATGTCCTGGAAGCAGAGCGGATACGGAAGTAGTCGTTAACACAACTAATCAACCTGACGGTAAGTACCACATATTATACATTCAACGGCACTATTAATGAGCAAATATTTGGTCTACAGATGGGATCTCCACTCTCACCTCTTTTGACATGGACAGATTGGAGAAGGAATTGAGAAGTCACCGCTGCAAACAAGAGTGCTTATGCGAACCTGGATGACTACTTTGCATTTTTTGGTTCACGGTAAGAAAGGTCTGGGAATGTATCATGTTCACGGTCCGACTTTGGAAATGATCATGCATACAATGGACTCCGGACAAGGTGCTTTCCTCAAGGTCTTCTTGCCAATATGACCAAGTTGCGAAGACAAGAACAAACAACTTGTAAAAACCCTCCGCTGTGAGTTGAATTCATAATTATTCATTATAATTGGATTTCCTATTATGATAACATGCAGTTGGCACTTAGCTCACTCCTTCATATTGTTGTCTGTGTTGGCTATTAGTTCTACCGAAGCCCAGGCGAAATCTCGTGATTTATGGGCCTTGCTGTGCACCTCTATACACTTAGCTTGCCAGCTCATAAGCAAACGGAGTGATAACTCATACAAACTATTCGTGAAGAAATCAAAGATTGTTTGTTTCCAGCCCATATTTTCTGGTCGCCGGAAAAGGTAGATACACTTATTGTTATTCAGCTACATATTTAGTTGTTTATTCGACTACAGATCCCAACGGTCAGATCAACACGTCAGTTTAAATGGGTAAACTTGGAAGACAACAGGGTCAGCCGAAGATATGAGGACCAAGATGGTGTGGTCTTTTGTCTGTTCGCAGTCTCCTTTCGTTGTATAGAAGTTGTTTGACCTTGTTTTCGCAACTTGGAATGTACCACGTCCACGGAAATGATTATGCATACAATGGACTCCGGACTGGGTGCGTTCCTCTAAGTCTTCCAGCAAATATGACCAAGTTGCGGAAACAAGATCAAGAAACTTCTTTAACAGGGATAATTTTTTTAAGCGTATGCTATAGGAAGCGAGAAGAATTTTGAGGAAATTGTAAAAGTACTTCCCTATGCGCTACCTCGAAACTGACGACGTTTGCTTTAAATAAGCTATTCTGATGTTTAATTACATACAACCACTAAGTTTCTCAATTAATAAGGACACAGAATTGTTGAGCTTACTTCCATTTCGAGTGAAGAGATTCGAAGGTCGATTCTACCAGAAGCTGACGGCAGATTCATCTTGACCAGCTGTCGATTAACTTTACTGGAACATTCATGGTGACGCTGTGTCCGAGGTAATCTCCTTCAACTCCGGTGAAAAGTTTATAAGCTTTCGTCTGTAATATCATCAGACCAAGGTATCATCTTCACAACCAAATTCAAGTTAATGAGTCAAGAAAACTCACTTGCAAATCCTTTAAAAGCGGTGTTTATACTCTATATCTGACCTCTCTGATGAGGTATGAAGTGATGTAGTTAATTCCAGTTATAGTCAAGCCTTGAAGCACAGGAGTGTTTCAGTAAAGCTAATCGACGCCTGGTCAAGATAAATGCCCACCGAATTCTGATGGGATCGACCTTCGAATCTCTTCATCGGGCACTTTCACTCGGAATGGAAATAATCTCAACAATTGTGAAAAAAGAGATTCCTCGAAGCCCAACTTTTCTTCGCGGGACAAAGAATGTCGAATAAATGAGGGAAATTGGTTATTAGAGCGGCCGCGCTTCAAGAACCCCTATTTGTGATAGTCATGAAGTTGGTACAATAATATGTGTGCATGTTCAAAGGGAAACTTGATTGTACACACTAATTTCTCATAAAACTTAATGCGTAAATGTAGACCTAATTCTTCCGAAATTGTATGTAGCTCCTTTCATTATTTAGAATTCAACTATTTCTTCCAGCATCGCCTTAAATGAGCCAGAACGACTCTATTATTAATCAAGCTTTAGTGGTAGCTTCTTCGCCTACTAATTCACACTATCAGCCACAAATGTGACATTCGGCATTAGTGGGCGAACTTTACTAGGAATGGTTTTTGTCGGATATCAGCATGATTCCAGCCTCAGTTGCCGGTTGACACGTACAATTTATTCTCTTTTTGGTTTACTCTTTCATTTGGTGACATGCCATTCTTATGGAGGGTCCAGAGTGCTTCCAAATTACTTTTAACCCTTGCATGCATCTTTTTCGGATGATCAGAGCCGCACAGAATGGAATCCCAAAAGCACAGACCGGTTATACGTTTCTAGCAAAAACACTTAAGCATGCACACCTGGAGAATCATGCGGCCTCTTTGGTTGTAACTGTATATTTGTAGAAAATGAATAATATGGAACATTCATATAAATTATAGGATGATGAGATAATATGGAGACCCACTTTTATTTTCGAATATACGTGCTAAAAGATATTTTCATTTTTCTATTTTTATGCGCATATATGCACTTGCCAGGTATTGGATGTATTAATGATTATGCACTTGTGAATGTGTCTGTAGGTATTCATGTGAAAATAGCTTTATGTGCATATGCATGTTTTGCCTATGCGTCGTGTGAACGTTGTCGTTCGGGAGAGTGAAGTTGATTCTGTGCATTCGGGACCAAGTCACTCTGATGTGTTGTGTTTTCTGCGTCGCGTAGAGAAGCGGCTGCTGCCATTCGTACCAGATAAAGGGAGAAAGGAGGAAAAGCAACCAGGCTCCAGATGCAGCAGAATAGGCGGACTGACAGACAGACAGACGAGCGGGTTGACGCGGTATCTAAGCCGGTAACCAGCGGCCCGACGTGTTCGAGACACCTGTTGGTTTGGTACAAAACTGGGCCAATATTGTCGATGTCGGTGGAGCGGATGTGAAACAGGAATGTGGGCCGTCGAATGAGAAACAAGCTCAAAGAAAGGGATTAACATTTGGGTAATCAACTAGAGAACGGCACACCAGCAAACAGCAACATAAGCGCGTTGCCATGCCGACAATGACAGCTACTCAAGCGGGTGTATTTAAGAGATGAAGAGCTAAAAGTCAGGACTAAAATGCTCTTCTCAGACGCCTCGAAACGTTACTTGTACACTAAAATGCTCTTGTCTGGCTACTAAAGCTGGTTGTGTCCAGCACGCAAATGCGAGGTCAAGATGACAAGACTAGATTGAAATGAGAGATGAGGTACCATTTCTTGCTAGTGGGACAAATGTCAGAGGGGCCCCAGGCATATTTAGCCGAGGATGAACATATGCAGAGTTAAATAAAAATTAATTAGAAACCACAGGTGAGCATTTGTAGATTTCGAAGCTATCAATAGATCTTTTAAAAAGTATCGATGTTAGATGAAGAATTACGTTGGATATATTTGCTGAACGATAGTGTTACTAATTTTTGTTTATACATATTGAGTAGGCGACGAAAATATTTGTAAATTTTAACTAAATGGGTTAACCTCGTTGTCGCAACTTGGTCTTGTTGTCAGGGCGACTTAGTAGAACGTATCTAGTCCGAAGTCGTCTG